TACAAGCCTATAACCAATAAGATGGTGATAGGACTGCCAAAATATGCTACTGCCTGGGGGGGGGCGGGGCGGGGGAGGACAGGAGTGCCAGCCACGGGGAAAGCCATTGCTGTCCTCAAGCAAATGCCTGGCGGAACATCTCTGTCTTACATGCCCTGCGAAACGGCATTAAGTCCCATAGGGCACAGATGTGATTTAGCAGAGAGTTCCACCAGGTTGAGGCCAGGGCAGAAAATGCCCAACTAATCTCCAGACAACAGTTCCCATTAAGAAGATGGCATCTGCATTCCAGAGCATCACTTCACCACTGGACTGCTTCCCCTCCCCAGACTCACCTGGAGGTTAGCACCTCTAGCTAGTAGAGGTCATACTCTATAATATTATTGATTTACTTCATTTATAACCCACCTGCCTCCCAAAATGGGCACTCAAAGCATCTTGCATCATTCTCCTTTCCTCCATGTTATCTTCATAACAGCCATGTGTTGTAGGTTAGGCTGAGAGTGTGTAACAGCTCAAGGTCACCCAGAAAGCTTCCATGGCAGAGTGTGGATCTGGACCAGGGTGTCCCAAATCCCAGTCCAACCCATCAACCCCAAGATGATCTCGTTTTATAACCTTTACTGTTTGTTTCCATTCCAGTCCCCCGTCCCTGTGTCTTGCCATTCATTTACAGCAGCAAGGCCTACTCCTCTTGCACTGCTGATGGAAGTCAGAACAAGAGGCTGTGGTGTGCCACCACTGGGAACTATGACAGACATCCCGAGTGGAAGTATTGTGCCCTTACAGGTGAGTTTATGTTGTACATTACTGGTGTACTATGTCACATGAGCTTAGGATGAGTAACAACGTTCTGGAAACAAATAGATCCCTGCTGCTGGATGTAGAAGTCTGTGTAAGACCAAACTGTTGAAAAAACACTGCCACAGGAGCACATCCAAAGTGGCCTTGACTAAGGGAAAAGCGGTTTATAGTTCAATCCTGTGCAGGTCTATTTTGAGATACAATGGGACCTGTTGCCTGCTATATGTCTTTAGGATTGCTACCATTTGGCAGGATGGAGAAGTTTAAGACCCTCCCCCTTTCTGCCTGCTGATTTCCCCCTTCATATACCCTCTCATGCCATAATAAGGCAAATGTGGGCTAGGAAACCTTTTTGTCTTGTATGACATAGCCCTGCTTTGAATGTGCTTGAAACATAACCTCATCCTCTCAGAGGAATGGGTATGTCCCTGTACAAATAATCTCTATCTCTGTCTTTCTTTAGAATACGGAGGTAATTCTGGTGGACAGCCCTGCGTCTTCCCTTTCACTTATAAGGGTCAGACATTCTACTCATGCACCAACAAAGATGCACAGATCGGAAGGTTCTGGTGTGCCACAACAGGGAGCTATGATAAGGATGAGAAATGGAGCTACTGTGCTGATAAAAGTAGGGAAATTGTGTTGACTCATTAGATGGATGTGTGTGTTCGTCAGGCAATGTAGATGTAGGAAGATCAGTGGTTGGTCTGGTTCCTGAGCTGGTGCAAAGAGAAATGCGAAGGAAGGACTGTGCAGAGACATAGAGGTGGCATGGCTCAGCAGCAGAGATGACATTCCTACTGCCTGGGACATCTGAAGGACCTCAAGTAGGACGTCTTGGAAAAACCACTTAGAAAGCCACAGCTAGTTCAGAGTGGATAATACTAAGCCAGATGGACCAATGGTACAAGTCAGTGTACGAGAGGTTCATTTGTTTGTGCCATGAAGACACAATGGTTTAGTGATGGCTAATATATGCCAACATAACAGTGCCCCTGTGTTCAGTATGGGTCGCTGCTAACTATCAGGCTACCAGTGTTTTGGGCAAACCCAGTCCATACCATTATTGCCGGCTTCCTTTCTTCTAGCCTGCAAGTAAAGCAATGCAGAGAGGTGTTAAGCCCCCACATGTCACTCAAGCAACAGGGCTTGGTTGATGTTACTCAGCATGAAAGGCATCCCTTCCTCAACTTCCCACAGCCACTCAAGTCAACTACTTGGAAATGGTCTTTCATCCTTGGATGTCTCAAGGTGTATGCCAGTTAGCTCTTCCTGTACATCAGCAACCCACACGATTGCTGTCATAACTGCCAACCTGTGGTGGCATCTCTCTTCCCACGGAGACTCATCTGCTTCCCTCTATTGTTCTGCCAGAGGATGAAGACTTTTTTGTTTCCTTTGGTATACCATCAATAACACTAATTGGCCCTCCTCCACAGTTGTGTTTGTATGTTTATATGTTTCTTACGGAATTGTTTGTTTTATTTTAATAGGGTTTTTTTTTTTTAGCATTTTCTCTGTGTGTGTGCGCTTGCATGCCTGGAAGTCACAGTGACTTCTAGTGACCCCTAGTGGGGCATGGAGGATTGTCTGTCTGTCTGCCTGTCTATCATCATCATCATCATCCTCCCCTCTCCCTTTTCTCCCTTTTCCAAGGACTATATGCAAACCAAATTGGAGCATGCGTCTTCCCTTTCATATACAATGGCAAACGCTACTCCTCTTGCACAACTGCTGGAGCATCTACTGGGAAGCTCTGGTGCTCTCTCACCAACAACTATGATACACACCGCAAGTGGACATACTGTGATCCCTCAGGTAAGGGGAGCGGGGGGAGGACACAAGGAATGGGTTTAAAAAATTTAGTTTAAGGTTTAGATATTATTTTGGAAGAGATTTTACAGACGGACGAAAATAAGAGTACAAAAGTCCCACAAAGTTTTCATCACACTCTTCCATTATTACCGCTCTTTATTGTTTGTTCCCCTGCCCTGTGCTTCCTCTTCAGAACCCCGCCCGTGCCACTTCCCCTTCATTTTCAAGGGGAAATCCTACTCTGCATGCACCCATGAGGGAGCTGGTGACGGACAGTTGTGGTGCGCCACCACAGCAAACTATGACACTGACAGTAAATGGAAGGCATGTTCTCAGCAAGGTAAGAAAGTTGGCAGCAGCAAGTCTCTGTTCTGTTTAACCTGGAATCCAGAGTTTAAATAGAAAGACTGAGTTGTTGAGAAAAATCTAGCTGACACCAGCAAAAGGTCAGTCTCTATGAAATTTCAAATCTGATAAGTTAAACTAAAACTACATTGCAAGCTTATATTAAATACAGGTGTCAAGACTGCAGGAACAATCTCTGGTCTGTCCATATGGAGAACTTAAAAAAAACCCCATTTCTATGATGACAAACTTACACTCAATCCACCTCTCTGTATCCTGATTTCCCCATCATTGCAGAGTATGAAGGGAACTCCAATGGGCAGGTCTGCGTCTTCCCCTTTACCTACAAGAACCGGACATTCTACACCTGCACCAATGAAGATACTAAGGGTGGGAGATTCTGGTGTGCCACCACTGGAAGCTATGACAAGGACAAGAAATGGAGTTACTGTGCGGACACAAGTAAGTTCACTGGGGGCTGCCATGGTAATAAGCTTTTTAAAAATTATATATTGATTAAAATATTTTCTTGGTTACACACAGCCCAGTCACAACTCATACTTGTGCTGTGGTGGCAGCTGTTGCTGACACTACTTTTTAAAAATCTACCTAGCTAATAAGAACATAAGAACATAGGAGAACATAAGAGACGCCAATGTTGGATCAGGCCAAAGGCCCATCCAGTCCAACACTCTGTATCCCACAGTGGCCAGAAATACCAGTGCCATCAGGAGGTCCACCAGTGGGGCCAGGACATTAGAAGCCCTCCCACTGTTGACCCCCCCCAAGCACCAAGATGACAGAGCATCACTTGCCCCAGAGTCCCTATCTATACCTTGTGGCTAATAGCCACTGATGGACCTCTGCTCCATATGCTTATCTAATTCCCTTTTGAAGCCGTCCATGCTTGTAGCCACATCTCCAATGGCCAATCAGAACCCCTGCTGGACAAAAGCCCCACCTAGTCATGCCCACTTTCTAAAAACACTTGGTGGATACCAGTAATGGGGTTGGTGGGCACCATGGTACCCATGACTCCATGAGTATCATAGTGGGGACCCCTGGACAACATATAATGCTGACGTACTGGATTTCTTTCGTATGTTAATGTAGCCCTGGGGAATGAGTAAGTTTCTACTCCATTAGAGCATTGATTATTAGGAAATGGAAGCTTAGCATTTTCCAGCTGTGATGTTTTCCTGAGTTAAATGGCCCCTGTTCCTCTGAGATGGTTGTTAGTCCCAGCAGGAGGCAGGGAAAAATCTGAGTATCTGTGACAGGATTCCAGAAAGATTGTTCCCATGAAGCTGGCTTATGCTGAGTCAAACCACTGAACCTTCCAGGTCAGTATTGTCTCTGGGGTCTCAGGTATAGAACTTTAACCAGATCTGATCCTTCTAAATAAAGGTGGTGGGAACTGAGCCTGGGACCTTCTGCATGTAAAACAGATACTCTGCCACAAAGCTACCATCTCTTCCCCAGGCACTAACAGAACTTCTGTATTTCAGGACAACATGGAAATAATATGGGGCCCTGCGTCTTCCCTTTTGTTTACAAGAGCAAGACGTATTCCTCATGCACAACAGCTGGAGCATCAACTGGGAAGCTCTGGTGCTCTCTGACCAGTAACTATGACACAGATCCCAAATGGACATACTGTGATCCCTCAGGTACCAAAAAAAAGACAGAAAAAAGGAAGGGAAAGCTTAGTGGACCTCTAATGATTTGGGATGATCATCTGTTCTCTGGTAATAGAGTAGATTTGCCTGCATGCTGATATACACAGGTACAGGGACATACCTGTATCCCACTGTGCCAGTGATTTTGAAACTGTGGCCTTTTGGAGGGGGACACATGACACACAGAGGAAAGGTGTGAACTTTCTGAAAAAGATCCAGAAGACTTGTCATTCTTCCAGCAGCAGAGATATAACACGGCAGACAGAAGGACTGCTTTGCTAACAACAGATGCTGCAACCAGTGCTGTGGAGTCATGTGAGCAGAAATTCTACTTTGTGAGCTCCTGGCATTCAAGCTGTGAGGGAGCAATTTGGCTACTGCATAAATTAGTTTGCTCTGGAGCCATCCTTCCTGAGTTAAGACAAAAAAGTCTGAGCCAGAGGCTAAAAAACTGTAAACTAGCTCACACTAACTTAGCTTAGAGGGAACATTGGCTGCAACTTGTAGAGAAGCAGGGAAGCTACAGGGACTTCTAACCACAGGAAGTCTTCCTCAGTCTTCCTCTGTTCTGATTGGATCTGATTTTAGTAAGCTGCTCAAGATGCCTGTTGAAGCCCTCTTCCAAGTGTCAGTGACATTGTTCCTCTATCCCAAAAATCCTTACACATACAGCCAGCATCTCTGCACAATACCATATGATCATTCTCCTCCTTAGCATAGTCCTGCACCACCTGGCTTTTCTCCATGCAGGTCCCATGAACTCCAGCATAGCATTTTTGGATGGCTAAGGACCTTTCCTTCCTTTTCTATGAGCTGAAAAGCTTGTTGGATCCAGTCCATTATATGTGTTCTTTTGGGCATTTTAGAAATGAGCAGAGTTTGAAAAGTCTAAGGAACACTGACTGAAGTACATGAAGAATGCTTACCAGAGTAGGCTGCTTCTGTGGTTTAAGCTTGTGTGTTTCTTTATATAGATGTGGTACTTGGTCCATAAAGGCAGCTGGGAGGCACACATGACTCATGTTCTTATCAATAAAAGGCAATAGGAATCATAGAATCATAGAGTTGGAAGGGACCTTCAAGGTCTTCTAGTCCAATTCAAAACAACCTCTCCCCAACCTCAAAAGAGGGCAACCCCCCCCAACAAAAATTCTCCAGAATCCATGGCCAAACTGTCCTGGAGAAAATTCCTTCCTGACCCCAAAGTGATGATCGAAATCTCCCTGGGTGTATCAGAACTAAGCACCGATGCAACCCTTGCTGCCCTCCCTCTCTTGATCTGTCTAAGTTCACAGAATCAGCATTGCTGTCAGATTCTGTTTAAAACCTCTGTTTAAAAACTCTGGTTTCTCTTCAGATTGCATAAATCTTTCGCCTGTTCCACTGAGGAACTGCTCTGTCAGGAAGTTTTTCCTAATATTCAACTGAAAACTCTTTTGATTTAATTTCAACCTGTTGGTTCTGGCCTGATCTTCTGGGGCAAGAGACAACTACTCCATACCATACCATCCTCAATATGGCAGCCCTCCAAGTACTTGAAGGTGGTTATCATATCACCTCTCAGTCGTCTCCTCTCCAAGCAAAACATACCCAGCTCCTTCATCCTTTCCTCATAGGACTTGGTCTCCAGACCCCTCACCATCTTCGTTGCCCTCCTCTGGACACATTCCTGGTTGTCTATATCCTTCTTAAATTATAGTGCCCAAAACTGAACACAATATTCAAGGTGAGGTCTAACCAGAGCAGAGTAAAGCAATGCCATCACCTTGCGTCATCTAGACACTATAGTTTTGTTTATACGGCCTAGAATCACATATGCAAACTCATCCTGGCCCCACAACCACCGAATCACAGTTTCCACATTTCTCATTAATGTAACTTCTCTTTTTCTCCTCCCTGCACCTTATGCTTCCTTCACAGAACCCCGCCCATGCCACTTTCCCTTCATTTTCAAGGGGAAGTCCTATTCTACATGTACCAAGGAGGGATCTGGAGATGGACAACTGTGGTGCGCTACAACAGCTGACTATAACAAAGACAGTAAATGGAAGGCATGTGCCCTTCAAGGTAAAAATGACATTGTGGTAAAGTCTGAATTTGGGATGTGCAAAAAAAAAAAATGGAATTTTTCAGATTCAGGGATTTTGGGTCCTTAAAAATTCATTTTTTTTTTTAAAATCAGTATTGTTTTGAAAACTCAAATTCCAATATCTGTATTGTATTGGAATTTGGGTAAAATTTGGGAATCCTGATTTTTTTGGGGCTCCATTATGACCTATGGGGCCATTATAGTCAATGGCAAATTACCAGTGCAATGTGCCCAGCAGAAGCAGTGCCAAAACCCAACAGGACTAAGATCAAATCTGAAAATCTACATTTTTTTCCAGTGGTGGGAAAAAAAGAAAGGCAGGCATACAAGAAGCCGAGCAGATTCTCCCAGAGAGTCTCTGCAGTAGAAAGTGAAGTGTGGGGACATGTTTGCAAGGCCAGCAGCAGAACCAGTGCAATGTGCCCAGCAGAATCAGTGTCACTGTGGCAGTGCCAAAACCCAACAGGACTAAGGTCACATCCTCTTTGGGTGCCCATAGAATTGGATCTCATGGTTCCATCTTTTTAAAACTTGGAGGTTCTTTTGGGGAGAGGCTTCAACAGCTACACTGCAAATTTGGTGCCTCTACCTCAACCCCTTTCCCCCCAGCCCACTGAATATACCCTAGAAGATTTGCTATTGGCTATAATGGACCCATGGGGTATAATGGAACTGAAAAATTTGAGATTCCCGAATTAGTTCGGGATTCTCTTATCAGTAAGTCAGACCATATCAGAGAATCTGATTCAGCGTAACCAAAGGCTGAATCATGCTAAAAAGGCATGTTGTTGTTGTTCGCTTTCCTCCCAAGTAGCAGACGTCTTTTAATTTCATGGCTGCAGTCACAGTCTGCGATGATCTGGGATCCCAGGAACGTGAAGTCTGTCACTACTTCCACAACTTCCCCTTCTATTTGCCAAGGAGTGATGGGGCCGGATGCCATGATCTTAGTTTTTTTTTATGTTGAGCTTCAAGCCCACTTTTGCGCTCTCCTCTTTTACCCTGAGCAAGAGGCTCTTTAGGTCCTCTTCACTTTCTGCCATTAGAGTGGTATCGTCTGCATATCTGAGGTTGTTGATCTTTTCCCCAGCAATCTTAATTCCCGCTTGTGATTCATCCAGGCCAGCATTTCGCATGATGTACTCTGCATATATATTAAATAAGTAAGATGACAATATACATCCTTGTCGTACTCCTTTTCCTATGCTAAACCAATCAGTTGTTCCATATCTGGTTCTAACTGTTGCTTCTTGACCCTTATACATGAGTTGGGTTTTAATTCAGCTCAGAAACACTGAATGCACATTCCTAGTCTGAATGCCTCATTCACCCCAGTCCTTGACTCAACCTCTTTTTAGTAGTAGTAGTAAGTTTTATTCACGGTCATTGACCAGAACATAGTACACTGATGGCATATCTTGCAACATAAATGATACATATGATATTAAAATAGCAGAATTTTAAAAGCAGGTTTTTAAAAGGGAAAAAGCTCCATAAAAACCCATCATAATTAAAATTAATAAAACGAAATCTTTATTCTCCTCTTTTTGAGCTACGATAGTTTTTCAAATTCTTAGGGCAAGCCATCCAAACCTAGCCTCCTGATGAGTAACTTTTGCTTGCCTATCCGATAAAAAACTTCTTAAAAGGCAGATTCTTTGCCTATGAGAAAGAGGAAGTGTCTTAGAGAAAGGCAAAGTTTCGTGAATGTTGTTATATGCCTTACAATAAAAAATTACATGTTCTATAGATTCAATACCATCTGCACAACAGGGACATATCCTTTCTTCATAAGGAGTTTTATTAAATTTTCCTTCCAGGACCGCAACCTCTTTTTATGTATTTAAGTGCTGTCAAATTGCAACCGATTTATGGTGACCCAGCAAGGGGCTTTCAAGGCAAGTAAGAAGCAGAGGTGGTTTGTCATTGCCTTCCTCTGCAGAGCCTTCCATGGTGGTCTCCCATCCTAGTACTGACTCTAGGCACTGAGATCTGATGAGATTAAGCTATACCATACCATCACCCCCAACTTCTCTTTAGGTAAAGGTTTCCCTTGCTCGAAAGCCAGTCAAATCCGACTCTAGGGATGCGGTGCTCATCTCTGTTTCCAAGCTGAAGAGCCAGCACTGTCCAAAGATGTTTCTGTGGTCATGTGGCCGGCTGACTAGATGCCAAGGAGCATAGAACACCATTACCTTCCCACCGAAGTGGTGCCTATTTATCTAATTGCAATTTCTTGCTTTCGAACTGCTAGGTTGGCAGGAGCTGGGACCAGAGATGGGAGCTCATTCCATCATGCGGCACTCGGGTCTCAAACTGCTGAACTACCAACCTTCCGGTCTGCAGTTCAGCATCTTAACTACTTGAGCTATCACAGTCCTTAACTTCTTTTTACTGTTTACCAAATCTCAGCAAAATTCATCCCCTGCTTATTTTGGTTGTCTCCCTAACTGTAGAATATGAAGGGAGCTCCAATGGGCAGGCCTGTGTTTTTCCTTTCATCTACAAGAGCCGGACATTCTACACCTGCACCAGTGAAGATACTGGGGATGGGAGATTCTGGTGTGCCACCACTGGGAACTATGATCAGGATAAGAAGTGGAGCTACTGCGCTGATACAGGTATTATAATTGGGTCTGCTATATGGGCAAGTGGTGTTCAGGGGTCAGGCAGGACTGTGAAGAAGGAAGTTGGGATTGAACAGTGCTGGGTTATTGAGTTCTATTGCTGTGTTACCCTCCATAACCAGGGGGAAAAAAGTATTAGTATGTTCTGTATCATGCCAAAAAGGAAGTATGTTGTGGCAGTGAGAGATGTTCTAGCCTTCAATAGCTAGTGAACTACGAACTGGCCAGAAGTCCACCTTCAAGTCTACCATGCCTACTGCCTTTCATAGTCTAGCCACGTGATAAAGATTAGACTGCTTATCCAGCATAATAAAGGCCAGAAGAAGTGTCCCTGTAGTGCCAAGGAGCTGAAACTAATTCCAGGAAATCAGCTCAAACCAGGAAAGGGACCAAAAAAAAAAAATCCATCTATCAAATCTTTCCAAGGGTAATATTCCTTGGTTTGGAGTCCCATAATACCCAGTAGTGGGCTGTAGCCATCCAGAATGTCTTGCTGCATAGTAGCAGAGAACACAGGCCTTCTAAATGCTTTATCAGGAAACTGTACACCAGTGGAAGTACACACATCCAACATGTGCTTTCTTATGTGGTATCCATAGGTTTGCCAGATCTCTTCCTTGTGCCAGTGGAGGGATTTGGGGGACATTCCGGGGGTGGCGGGGATGTCATGTGATGCACTAATGTCACCCAGAAGTGACATCAGTGCATCGGTGACATTGGGGGTGATACTCTTTTGGGGGGCAAAACTGTGTAGTAAAAATGGACTCAAACCATAGAGTTTTGCCCAGAAAAGCAGAGTGTCGCTCCCTTGACATCATCGATGTGCTGACATCACTTCCGGCTGACATCAGCATGTTGCACATGGTGATCGAGTGGGGGGAATTCTTCCTGCCAGCCCGCTGACCGGCAGTGGGCCAGAGCTCGTGAAAGCGGGGGATCCCCTGCCCCCACCTGGGGAATGGTATCCCTAGGTATCCATGTAAAGAAAATGTCAATAGTGTGGATCAATAAGAATAATCAATAGGTACAGTGCTAGTTTTGTTTCATTGGCCATATTTATGTTTCTAGAGGAGAACCTGGAGTAGGCAGTGCATGAATAATAACAGACTTTCTGAACGCTCCCTTTTACGTGCCTCTCTCCTACTTGTTGTTGAATATCATCTGCATCTCTCCTACTTGTTGTTGAATATCATCTAAAACGTTTCCCCCTTTTGAAGCTTCAGGCCATGATTTTTATTAGACCTCTCTGTGCTGTTTACAAGAGATGAAGTGTCTGACCACTCAGTGTGCTTCTTCTGCCAGGAGACCAACAGCAACCTAGTGATGACTATTGCAATTCCAGCAATGAAATTTGATACTGACCCGATGTTTGTATGGCTCCATCCTGCTTCCCTTTGTACTACTAAAGTCATCTAGCCTGCCAACGAAGATCTGCCTCCTAAGCCCTGCTCTTTGTGCCTCCACCTTCAGGGGCGAGGTGGGCAGTGCCCCCAAACAGGTCTTTTCCTGTGGTGGCGCCTCGTTTGTGGAATGCCCTTTTTGTTAAGCCTCATCTGCTCTCTTTGAGGCCAAAATGTTAATTTTTATCCAGGCTTTTAATCAACAGCTTGATCTTTTACCCGCATCAACTTCTAGTCTGAGAGCTGTTTTATGAGACCCATTTTAAGCTACTTATTATTCATGTGCTCTTCCTGAATTTTTAATGCTGGGCTTTTAATAATTGATTCATTGTTAACAACTTCTATGGTGTTTTATGTTTTTTATCGTGCTTTACTCTGCAAGCTGCCTCAACCAGGTTTTCTGGAGAGGCGCTATAGCAGTTTTTTTGAAATAAATAAATAAATAAATACAATAAAACCTCGCTAATAGTCTCCGAAACTAATTGCCTTACATGTCTTCCTAAACGCGATGAATTGAGGCTCCTTCTGCACCCACTTTGGTTGGCCAGTCTGTTACCCAAATTGCATGTATGTGTATATATCTTGACTATAGGAGTACCCCCCCTCTTTAACATCAAGATTCACCCTGGTATACACAGACTGCAAGGTCTTGCATTATTTGGACTATAGGAGTGCCCCCCCCTCTTTAACATCAAGATTCACCCTGGTATACACAGACTGCAAGGTCTTGCATTATTCCTTTGTGGAACCCCTTTTAAAACTAATTCCCCTTTCTCTAGTCCAGTGTGGGTCACTTCTGGCTAGGATGCCACTGTGATCTTGCAGTGTAGTGTTTCAAGATCTTGTTTGGCATTTTGAAATTTTCATTTTCTGGGGTTTAACACCCCCCCCATTCCCCCAGGTTTGTAAAAACATTTCCCATTTCCATATATGGCACCACTGATGCAGACTTTTTAAAAAATCTATACCCAGAAGCCAAGACGCTTGCTAATTTCTGTTAACAGGTCTGTAGATGTAGCTATCTACTCATAACAGTACCACGTCCTGCTCAAGGCTGAGATTAGCCAAGCCAAGGCAGAAGTCATTAGTGCTGGCTCCAAAACTGAAGAAAGCTCTCATGCTGTTCTAGCAAAGAATGAAGGTGAACTGAGTACTCCTTAAGTACTCCTACAAGCCCCACCTCCCTAGGAACAGGCTAATAGCTCTTAAGGGTAACATGCCCAGAGAGGGCTGCAAGTGCTTCAATGGGATATTTCCTTACCATGTTGGGTTTGCGAAATATGCTGGAGAAAGACCCTAGGGCTGCAGCAGATTCAGTGAAGGGTGGAGTTGCCAACTTCAGGTTGGGAAATTCCAGGAAATTTGAGAGTGGAGGCTGGGGAGGCAGGGTTTGGGGAAGGGAAGGACATCATTTGGGTATAATGCCATACAGTCCTCTTTGTAAAGCAGCCATTTCCTCCCCCCCTCCTTGGGAGAACTGATCTATGTAATCTGGAGATAAATTGTAATTTATGGGCCATTTCCAGGCCACACCTGGAGGCTGTCAGCCAATGCTCCCTCTAAGTTGTGGAGTCTTGTGAGCAACAATTCTACTTTGAGAGCTACTGGCAGGAAAGTTGTGAGTGAGTGCTTTAGCTACTGCATAAATTAGTTTGCTCTGGAGCCATCCTTCCTGAGCTAAGACAAAAATGTGTGAACTGGAGGCTAAAAAATTGTGAGCTACTTCACACTAACACTGCTAAGAGGGAACACTGGCAGCAATATTGATGGGGGTTGGAGTCTGACGAGGAAGGCCAGGCTGTATCCCAAGGTGAGAGCACTGACCCAGTCTTTTGGAATTTCTCCTGGACATCAAGGGTGGGCTGCTGGGGACACCTTGGATTCTTCCTAGTGTCAGAACCTCCACCCCCTTCTCAATCAAGTCTTCTTCTCCTTGTGAGGAACAGTCAGTGCTTGGCTTGTGATATGCTGTGACACTGAAAATAGAGACTGGCCCTGGTTCATGGCTTTTATTCTTATACATGAAAACTCAAGCCTTTCAATTTTGTTTGTTGTGGAAGGGGAGCTATTAAGGTTGCCAACTGAACAAAGAAAAAAACCCCAAACCTTTCTCTTTATTGTGATGTTAATATGTGGAAATGGGCAGCTGGGGCTTTTCATTGCACTGAGTAAAATGACATCACCTGGTATTTACTGAAGATCAAATTGATATTAAAAGGCAACTAGATCAGTTTAAAAGTTCAGACCCCATCAATGTGTATTTTTAGTAAGGATTTTTGGCTCCAGTGTGCCTTACTTTGCACTGGCCCATGTTGGACCCCATTTACCACATTGACGGCCACTCGCCCAGTCTCAACAGATCTCTCTGGAGCACCTCACAATCCTCCCTGGTTCTCAATCCTCAAAATCCTCTATTCAGACTGGTAGTGGTTCTCCTGGGTCTTCACTTCACCTGATCCTTTCAGCTGGAGATGCGGGGGATGGAACTTGGGACCTTCCATGTACCAAGCAGATGCTCTGCTAGTGAGCCATGGCCCTTCCCCCAACATAAGGAAAGTTAAGCTTTTGTGGCCTATTACATTTGCAGCTTCAAGAGCACTGTCAGGAACATCAATTGTCCTCCATGGATACAAAAGCTGACCATTTGTTATTTAAGGCATCTGTATTACCAGCTGATGATCTGCACTTTTCGGCGATGTCTGAAAACAATACAGTGCCCATGAATGTACAGTTGGTGCTGAATAGGGCTAGTGCCAATTTAGTATTAGCACATTGTACCCCCAATTTTGGGTTATCATCTGAAAGTATCCTTAGTAACAATTGGAATAGGGGAGAGGAGCTGAAAGAAGATCTCAGGGACTGTGCAAGGTCCAAGAGAAGGGCAAATCAACAATGACCGTTAGTATCCTCATTTAAGACATATAAAGGGATAGGAATAACTGGCCAAGAGGTATAAGAACACTCAATATATCAAAAGGAGAAATAATTGCCCAATAGTGCAAGTTGTGGGCATAGAAAAGGGGAAACTGAAAAGGGAAGTTTGGTGTATGTTACTTTGCTTGCATTATGCTCTTAAGTAGTGTTGCTGTTTGAAAAAAGTTGTTGATGACCCTTTATTTGTTCAGCTCCTGTTGGTTGTGAAAATATCAGAAGTTTGTAATTGAAGAAGGGAGGGAGAAAAGAGCAGTCAAGCAGGGTTTATAAAGAGAGTGAGTGCTGTGTGCATGCCTCATACCCACAGGAATTCCTCAGAGGAGATGGTTTCCATCATGGTGGTCATCATGTATGGCTGGGTTCTTCTACCTTTGCTTACAGCAGGTGATGGTAAGGATTGTTCTTTCTATCAATGTAGCTGATTGGTTAACTGAACCCTGCCTTCAATGAATTCTGTTAACATCAAAGTTTATATTTGGCCACTTTCATATATCAAGATACTGAGGTATCCTTCGCCTGGCAATTCTTATGGCATGTTTATTTAATAGACAAATCAATTGCGTTTTCTTTCATAATTTCAGACATGAGTTCTAATTAATCTTATTAGCCATATTGCAAGAAATGTTGAAGCCTACAAAGATCCCATATAAAAACGTAAATTGCTTTGCTGATTCAAAATTAATGATCTAGATGGTCCTTCAAAGAAGACAACATACGTTTCTGTTCTGTGAATGGGGTGGAAAGACTGGGAAACCAAATGGAATGGGAATCTGAAGGGGACTTGTGTGACAAAGAAAAGCTGCAGAGAAGGATACTTGTGTACATGGAGATTTCAGCATCTTTGGAAGAAAGATGGAAAGATATTCAGGGAATCGTGGATCTGTTGAGCAGGGAGAGAACTTGGTGGGGGAGACACAGGGAAAAATCCCTCTATGATTAACTAGGCATTATCTCTTGGGAACTGCAGTGAAATGAACTTCTACACACCAGCCAGACTAAGGAGCTTTCTAACTGATATTTGGGTTGGATCCAGCCAGTTTTTTCCCTCCACTCAATCTCACCTAGTCTTTCTGCTTACTACAGCCCCCCCCATTTTTTGACCATGCAGGTCCCATGATCTCCCATATAGCCTTTCTCGGTGGTCAAATGGGACCCTACTTTCCTTGTGCACCAGCAGAAAGGTTGGCTCCAACCCTGTATCTCTGGCTCACTACTGTGTGACTTCACAAGAGTCTAGCTTGCATTCAGCTAATCTGGAGTTATTGGTGAAAACACATATGATAGTTTCTCAAGTCATAGTACCATATGAACTGGTGTAACTGTTCATAGGTTAGCTCAACTTGGAATGCAGCTTCCAGTAAGCTTAGCCAGTGCACAAAGCTTTTGTCTAAGCTGGAGCTTATGGAGACTCAGTCTCAAAAGCAGTTGCAAAGTGAACCCGCAGTAGAACTCTTTATGTTCCCACTGCAGAGTGCATGGTTATCAACACAAGATGAACAGCAGGGTTACTTTTCTTGTACCCCTTAATACCTCAATGCAAATTTATCATGCAACCCTAAACAGAGTCATACTCTTCTAAGTCCATTGGCTTCAGTCAGTCTAGATGGATGTAACTCTCTTTAGGGCTGCATTTTTATAATCTTTATTTCCAAAATATTTTTGAATTTCCTTTTACAAGTCCCAATAGAAAATTATGTATTTTTAAAAAACACTTCCAGTCTTGGATCTCTGCCTACCTGACATCTTTAAATGGGACTGTCTTTACAATAATCTTTCTCGCTTCATTGTTTTTGGAAATGCTGAAGAGCCAGCATTTCAGGAATTGCACTCTATTTTGTCCTATATTTTCATACCTATGTACTTGAAGCCTAATAACATTAATGCTACTTTATAATCACTTGACAAAGTAAACAGTTACAATTATTCAGAACTTGGATCTTTCCTCGATTTACTTACCATGAGAAGCTAAACTACAGAATCATAGAATTGGAAGGGATGGCCAGAGTCATCTAATCCAGCCCCCTGCACAATCCAGAAAATTCACAACTACCTCCCCCCACACCCCCAGTGACCCCTGCTCCATGCCTAGAAGATGGGGGGGGGGACCCTTCCAGGATTCCTGGCCAAACTGGCTTGGAGAAAATTGTTTCCTAACCCCAAAGTGGCAATCAGCATTTCCCTGGACATGTACGAAAGGGCCATGAGAACTAATCACTGAGGCAACCCTCCCTGCAACCCTCCCTCTCATGATCAGCCTAAATTCACAGAATCAAGGGGAAAAACATATATAAATACTAGGGCATATACCTAGCCTCCCCAAATAGAGATAGATGATTTCAAACTATAGTGTCAAAACAGAATTCACCTCACATCACCCCTTTCACACTTGCATAAATCTCACTTCTGTCTAACCTTCTGCTTCCATTTCAGCCCCCCGTCCCTGTGTCTTCCCATTAATTTACAAGCGCAAGTCCTACTCCTCATGCACCAAGGATGGAAGTGAGCATGGGAAGTTGTGGTGTGCTACAACTGCCAACTATGACAAGACTCCCCAGTGGAAGCACTGTGCTCTGAGTGGTGAGTTGTACCAGGGTGTATTACTGGCATACCATGTCCCATGACCTTAAGATATGTAACAACTTAATGGGGACAAATATAGTCTCCTCTATTTGGGGCTGCCCAGCCTGGCTTGGAAAATTCCTGGAGATATGGGGAATCCTGAGTGTGGAGTTCAGGGAGCGGAGGCAACTCCATGGAAATGTGATGCCAAAGAGTTTGCCCTATGAAGTTGCCTTTTCCTGTAGGGAACCTTATTGCTGGAGTTGCTATGGAGAAGCAGACAATAGCGAAACACTTCTACTCATTTCTTGCCCTGAAAACTCTATGAGGGGTCACCACAATTTAGTTGCGACTTGATAGCATTTAATTATTATTATTAAGCCCTCATGCCTGCCACAGGGCACATGGACTGGAATCCTGCTCGGCTTGTAGCTCTGCTCTGAACTCCTCTGTAATCTGGCCTTGGGTGCTTTCACACACCCCAAATAACACTGGGGAATTTCACATTACCCGTCTTCTCCCGGTTTCAAGCCGGGAGTCTTCCGTTTGCAGATGAACCGGTAGAGGGCTGCCCCTACCAGAAAGGAGCCGATTCAGAAGCGGTTCGGCGTTTCACACACGCACCGCTTTGTTTCCCCACGGTTTTTTTTTTAAAAAAAGTCCGTCTTATAGCGATATATCGCTCTACCAGTATTCCAATGTATTCCAATGGGATCGGTATAGCGTTATATCGATATA